AAAGCTTTTCTTGCAGTTTTTCTTCACATTTTTCTGAAGGTCCTCCACCTTCAGGATTCCTTGTCAAACATTTGTTTGTTATGGCTCATTTCGGATGGTACTTTCCATTAAATTCTCCTTCACACTCTTCCCTCTGTAGGTGAAGGGGGCCTTTCCTTGGTCTCAATTCTCCCTCTGTGTGGTCTGTTCTTAGTTCTGGTCTGCCATGTGTATGTTGTGATTGTGTGTCTTCTCTTCCTCACCAGCTCATACGCCTCTTGTGGGCAGAAGAACCAGAGTTTGTTCACCTTCTCATTCCCTCCAATGTACAGAGTCTTCTATGATTCCCAGCTAAGTGTCTGTTAACTGCAATGGCTGAGGTCACCCGGGAGGCTCGTGACGGTCCATAGAATCTACATCTTCTGATGCGCATTTCAGCTGTTCTTATCATCAAACTCACTCACTTCTCATTCATTACTACTCATCAGTTCCTGGCTTTGTCCCCTAAAGACTGCACAGAAATTAATATCCATCTATTTTGAAAGGATTTTGTAAAATTACTAAATACGCTTATGCTTCTGCTTATACTCCATCAACCTGTTCTGGGACTTCTAAATTCCAAATGGGGATAAGCTTATTGTCATTTTCTCCCATAACTAGACCTGCTATCCAGTAAACTCAAGATCTTAATGCATTTAAATACACTCAGGCACATCTTGGTAATCAGAAGAGTATATAATTAAATGTAAATTATATAAATAATATAAAACATAAAAAATAAAATATGATTATGCTATAAAATTTTCTACACTTTTCTAATTAACATGCACCTAAATATTATGAAGTTTCAGTATTATTAAATTAGCCTGTGTGTTGGAGTGATGGCTCCCTCTGATGACATTGATCTGTGCATCACAGTAAAAAATATGTGATGAGGAGCCCATTTGCTGTTTCATACATCTGCAAGATGGTTTTGAGTGACAGCTGAGAACACAGTGTATATTTTTACCTGCAGGCTCCTAACCCTTTTGATAACATTCACCTCTCTGATTAGTATACATCACTCCGATCTCCCCAGTGCTCTTTTCCCATCGTGGTGCACGCAGCAAACATTTTTTGTGACAAAATGAGGAAGTCCCTAAATTTCAAAGCTGTTTGACAGCGGGTAAGCACAAAACGAGTCTTAGCTTCCTCCTTTCAGTGTTTGCTCCGGCTCTGCGACACTACCTGGGAAAAGCCAGCCGCCTCCATAGGCTGTTTACATCTGCATACAAACAGGGAAAAGGGAAAGCCAGAAGTCCCACACAGTCCAGTCACCCATTGTTAACCAGAGACAGGGTTTATCTGTGATTGATTGCGATGATGTCCTGTTCTCTCAAACCTTGTGCCTTGCAAGGCCATCAGGAGGATAAAATTTACCGCAGTCTTTCCTTGTAATTACTCAGATGTTAGTACTGGCAAATGGGGGTTTAGCGATTACAGGAGTATAAAAACCTGCTGGGTTGCCATCCCACGTTTGTGAACAGCAGACATATTTCCTATCTTGCATCTATTCAAAAAGAGTTATTGCTTGATTTACTCCCTGATGACAACCCATGATATCTTGATTCTGGTAGTTCTGAGCTTTCCTGGTAGTCATATGCTTGAAGGCTAATTTTACCCCTGGCGCGCTTAGCCTTCCCACAGTTTCCAGTTCTTCCCTGTGTCCCGCAGCAGTGAGTTCCAAGCACTTAATGCAGTTGTCTCTGCCTGTGAAAACCAAGAAATAAAGGTTATTATAAGGCATAAATAAAGAACCCAGTAATTTCTCGTGCTGCGTGTGTGTGTGTGTCTGGGGGGGTGTTTTACAAGAGGAAAGTTAAAAGATAATAAGAATGCCTGCGAAAGTCATCAGGAAATGGAGAGAACTATTTTCCATTCTAGCACCTAACCCTCTGGTGTGTTTTGGCACCAGAAGACACAAAATATGTCCTCTGTGTCAACTAGGAATGCGTCTCTTTGTTTAGTCCTGCTTGAGTGCTGGCATTGGAAAAACATAGACGGAAAACAGAAGCAAAAGTGTTCAACATAGATCATTTCTGGTGGGGTCTCTTTGTTCTTGCAGGAGCGAAGTTTACTATCGCTGGAAGGCAGACATAGTGTTAGAGGAAACAATGTAAATTGCGTGTTCAGTTAAGACTATCCGGTTTCCAAGGGACAGTCTAATTCTGCTTCCCTGGCGCCATCAGTGCTAACAAGTTCTGAGAAATATTTGCGGATTTCTCAGTGAAGCCAAAGCACTCAAGTTTTGAGTCCCGTTCACTCTCAGAGAAACAACTATTCATGCATTTAAAAAGGAGAGCTTAATTGGACCAGCAGAATATTCCCTTCACCAAGCGTCTGGCCAGAGGGTTGTTGATCTAGCTCTTTACCTCGCTCCCGCATCAGGAGGCTTTGCCTGTAGGAAACAGTATTAAACAGCGGAAACTTCTACTTGTAGGCATGGGATAGGAATAAGTTCCTTCAGAGGAAAACAGGTTGCTGCAGCAGAGAACATTTGGCCTCTTCTACTAAAGAGCAGACTGTTTCCAGATGATACGTTCATTTGAAATGGAAAAGAAAAAGTCTTTTCTAGAAACAAGAACATTCTCCTTTTAGCCTGTTTACTATAAATATTTCAGGAAAAAACATGTAAATAAAAACATGCGAATAAAACAATGCTTCCAGCAACACTTATATTGGCTTTTTAGAAAAATTAGCCTCTTTGTGTGTGTGTGTAAGGCTTGATGTAAATTATTTTTATTTTTAGAGAGAGAGAGAGAGCATGAGAGGGGGACAGGGGTAGAGGGAGGGAGGGAGAGAGAGACAGAGAGAGAGAGAGAGAGAAAGACAGACAGAGAGAGAGAGAGAGAGAGAGAGAGAGAATCCTAAGCAGGCTCCACACAGTGTTGAGTCCAACATGGGGCTCAATCCCACAACCCAGGATCATGACCTGAGCAGAAATCAAGAGTCAGACACTCAACCGACTGAGCCCCTTAAGTGCCCAAAGCTCAATGTAAGTTCTTTGCAGATTTTTTACTTGGAAGAGTAAAAAAATAAAGTTCTGAAATAAGTTGATGAATTCAGAATGTAATCTGTCCAAAGGTTTCTTGGGTATGATGAGAAGGACCTCCCTATATATTCCCTTCTCAGCTTTCTCCTCTCTGAAAAATGTGTGCCACATGGAGGGGCTGGGGGCATTGTAGTAGCTGGGGAAGCAGGTGCAGTGCATGGGGAATGAGTGATCCACCCACCAGAAAAGTCAGTCTTGGGCAGGAGATCCTTTGAGTTGCTCAGATAGCTTTGCTGGATTCCCTCCATAGCTCTCCAGGTATGCTTTGGTTTGCATGCCTGTGTGCCTCATTTGTATCTCAAGAAATGTGCTCATAACCCTTCTTTCACTCTACTTTATAGAATTGGATAAAAGAGAAAGGAAAGGGAGCCAACATTTATCGAGCTTCTTTAATCAGTACAGTACTGCACTGGACTGTCTTCTATACTATATCTCATTAATGGTACGAGAATATAGGGAAAAGGGTTTATGTTCTGACACTGAATCCATTGGTCCTGTCCAGTTCTGAGCCCTTCATTACTCAATAGCAGATGCCAATGGACTGATTTGTAAAAGTCTTGCATTTAGCATTCTGAAAAATCCTGGGAATATGAAACTGTAAACTGTACAGGAGAAATGTTGAGGCCAAACAAAATGGAGAAATTAGCCAAAGTGCTGTTATTACTGCTTACCTGTGATTGAAAATGAATCAAAGAATTTATTAGACTAAAAATCAATTGCATTATACACTTTAAATGGGCTAATTATGTGATACGCAAATTATATCTCAGGAAAGATATTACACACACACACACACACACACACACACACACACACACACACATTGGAATTTCAGGAAAAGTCACTTTGACCATCAAGTCATGAAAGCATTTGTAGGAGTTCCATTGAAAAAGGTAAAGGGGCACCTGGGTGGCTCAGTCGGTTGAGCGTCCGACTTCGGTTCAGGTCATGATCTCACGGTTTGTGAGTTCTAGCCCCGCATTGGGCTCTGTGCTGACAGCTCAGAGCCTGGAGCCTGCTTCAGATTTTGTGCCTCTCTCTCTCTCTCTCTCTCTCTCTCTCTCTCTCTGCCCCTCCCCCACTCACACTGTCTCTCTCTCCTTCAAAAATAAATAAACATTAAAATAATTAAAAAAAAAAAAAGAAAAAGGTAAAAAAAACCAAACCCTAAACATTCAAGCCAAGGTTTCTCCTTAAAAACAAAAACAATTAAGTAGTACTATATTATAAACCTTGCTAGGCCGCAAATTTTTAACTTCTCAAGAGGAATAAGCCTGTAAACAGTAAGGATGCACTCAATGTAAAATTCATTCAATATAAAATTGCCCCAGAGGGAAAAGCATAATTCCAACCTAAGAATTAATCCTGTGTAGGAGGTTAATTTGACTTCTTACATTTAAAAAAATTTTTTTTCAACATTTATTTATTTTTGGGACAGAGAGAGACAGAGCATGAACGGGGGAGGGGCAGAGAGAGAGGGAGACACAGAATCGGAAACAGGCTCCAGGCTCTGAGCCATCAGCCCAGAGCCCAACGCGGGGCTCGAACTCACGGACCACGAGATCGTGACCTGGCTGAAGTCGGACGCTTAACCGACTGCACCACCCAGGCGCCCCGACTTCTTACATTTTTACATGCCCCATTATTTTTGTATTTGCCGTTTGTTATTAACAATTAAACATCACCTTAACTGACTTAAAATATAATCAAATATTTGAGCAGAAATCAAGAGTCAGACACTGTAAACTAAAAGTTTAATTTTAAAATGTCTTAATATTATTTAAGTCATACATGCTACACAAGAATAATCAAGCAATCTTGTTCAGATCTGCGTTAATCACAGATACCTCTCCATAGTTGGCATTGGAAAGAGTCTTATTCATTTTAATGAGTCCCATTAAAAAATCCAATGATAAAGGAAGATGGCCAACTTCAAGTCTGTGTTAGTTCGGATTCAGTGTAAGTCAACTCATAGATACTTATTGAGTACCACCGTGTCTCCAGGGGTCTGCATGATACTGGAAGATATGAGAAAAAGAGATGTATAAGCAGCAGACTGGTCCTCAGGGAATGTGCTATCTAGTGGTAGAATAATATTAGTATACAAACGAATGCAAGCAAAAACAAGATGTAAGCGGGCCCCACCACACCCCAATTTATTCATGTCTAGTGTATTTTCCTCCATCAGTTTCTAATGATTATGGATTCCGAGTAAAAATCAATCCTTGGTTACACTTGCATTTATATACTGATTCACTCTTGACATTCCCATGCTAGCATAAATATACTTACTACACATTTATCTTGCCTACAATATTCTGTGATGTAGATACGTCTAAAAATGAGATCTTTCCCTATGTTGGTTCTTTTGGAGCTGGCAGGAGGGCAGCAGGAGGTTTTGGCAAAGGTTTATCAAGGTCAATGATCACAGATTACACACCTTTGAAATATTACTTATGTCAAGATATTAGTACTGTTTGGATATTTTCCTATTGATGCCAGCTCTTCATTCTATGAGTGCATCAAGGTTTGGCTTCAGGGTAAATGAAGTCACTATGTTTGTTTCCATGTCCCGCTAAGAGTTAAAATTGTCTTTAGTAATAGTGCCATGGTTACATGACCTTGTGATCTCTCATTCCATTCCATTCTCCTCCCCTTCTCACTCTCCTCATCTTCCTCCTCCTCTTTCCCTTCTTCTTCTTCTTCTTCTTCTTCTTCTTCTTCTTCTTCTTCTTCTTCTTCATTATTGACTTCTCCTTGTGGGCTCTTATTACAAAGAATAAGGTTAAAGTTTCTGTTCTGATGCTTCTAGAGTCAATTTAACTCATTAAATATTCCTATTTGTTATTTAATCTGTATTTTCATTTTATCAAATGGAAAAGGGATGTAAAAAAAATACCATTAGTATTTTCTTTGGTTTTATACCACAGTAGAGAATCAGTTTCTTAACCTGTTTACATGATTTTTGACTTTTCATTGCCACTGATTCTAAGATCCATCATGACTTTATCATTGGAAAACAAGATGCAAGAAACATGTTATGATGGTAAGAGCGGTTACTTACTCCATACTCCTGAGTGGAGAAGGGCTTTTCCTACATCCTCTGGGTTTGGTCAGGATAAGCAGTTGAGGCCACGGCTGAATCCACCTCAGCCTCTGAAGAGAGCAGAGCCTGAGCAAACCCTCGTTACTCCAGTGTGGGTATAGCATGGAGCACTGAGATGAAGAAGATTTCAAGATCTGTGGTCTTGGCTGTTGAAGGGATGGCAGCGCTATGGATAGGAGTCAGGAAGACAGGGGAAAGAGTAGGTATTAGAGAAATCTGATGTGTTTTTCCTTATTGATGTCGAGTTCAAGGTACAGGGATAAAAGTCAGAAGGTGGAAGTCAGAAGAGAGATGGATATAAAAGATTTGAGTCATCTCCATAGTTAAAAGCGTGGAATGAATGTGATAAGCAGGCAAGATGGTGGAGAAGAAGGTGTCCGAAGGGCTGAGGGAAGACCTCTTAAAAGGCTGACCTTTAGGAGTTGTAAGTAGAAACAAATCCCAGCCTGCCAGCCTGGGGCTAAGGCAGAGTTTGAGGAGCAGAAGTTCGGTCTCTGATTCCAAGGGAGGGATGACTTAAAAAAAAAAAAAGGTGGTGATTTTGCCAAATACCACAGAGAGGTGCACAGAACCAAGAGGAAGGGACTAAGCATTTGTTAATTAGGGATCACAGTTGTCCCCTAAATAGGACATTTTTAGGGGCGCCTGGGTGGCGCAGTCGGTTAAGCGTCCAACTTCAGCCAGGTCACGATCTCGCGGTCCGTGAGTTCGAGCCCTGCGTCAGGCTCTGGGCTGATGGCTCAGAGCCTGGAGCCTGTTTCCGATTCTGTGTCTCCCTCTCTCTCTGCCCCTCCCCCGTTCATGCTCTGTCTCTCTCTGTCCCAAAAATAAATAAAAACGTTGAAAAAAAAATAAAAAAAAAAAAAGAGGACATCTTTAGTAAAAAAGGTGGGAAAACAACAACCACCAGAGTATCAGTGCGTTCAATGAAAGTATAATGTATATAAGAGAAGATGGGCAGGAAAAATGAGAGAAAGGAAATACAAACTAGCTTTTTGAAATTTTTGGTGGTAAAAAGTCACGGAGCTGTAGCACCCAGCAGCAGCCGCATCAAGGGAACTGCTGTCCTGGCTCCTTCCAGTGATGTCCCATGAGAATTTTTTAGTGGCATTATGAGCTAGTAGGCTATTGTTTATTCAATGTGTATCAATCGACTCATTATCCTTCTTTGGTGCTTCAGTTGTCCCGTCTGGGGCTAATAGAGTTCCTTCATGTGACTTTTGTGTCATTTTGGCATAAATCATTCATCTCCGATGCCTCCTTAAACATGTCCCAATCTCGTCTCGTAGATTTTTTTCCCAGAGCTGGAGCCAACTCTGTCTACAAGGAGCACCCATTTGTTTCAGAGAAACTGGTGTCTGGAACTCAATCTTGGCATTTGGTTTATTCACTGTTTTTGAGTTGCCATTACTTCCAGGCCTTTTCAGCGGATAAAATTAGAAAATGAGCACCTTTGAAGCTATATATTCATATCCCCACCCCATACACAAAAGTAATTATTGTTTATAATATTCTGCATATTGCTTTGGAAGTTATGACGTGTATGTGTATAAAGAACTTATTCCTATCCGTGATTGTTTTATATTCCATTGTGTGGAATCCCTTATTGGTGAGCAGGTAGGTTCTTCCCATACTTATACTATAGACAACACCAACAAAAGGCCACAGTAGATAACTTTGTGAATAAGTCATTTTGTACTTTTCTCGGTCTGTCCTTGTGATAGATTCCTAGAAGTGGGGTTACTGGGTCAAAAGATACATGTAAACACATCACTTATCATCAAGGAAATGCAGATCAAAACTGCAATGAGATATAATGTCACACCTGTCAGAATGGCTAAAATTAACAACACAAGAAACAACAAGTGTTGGCAAGGATGTAGAAAAGGGGGAACCTTCTTACACTGTTGGTGGAATGCAAATTTGCACAGCCATTGTAGAAAACAGTATGGACATTCCTCAAAAAAAAAAAAAAATAGAACTACCCTATGATCCAGGAATCACAGTATTGGGTATTTACCCCCAAAATACAAGAACACTAATTCAAAGGATACTTGCACACCTACGTTTATTGCAGCATTATGTACAGTAGCCAAACTATGGAAGCATCCCAAGTGTCCATCGATAGATGAATGGATAAAGAAGTGTGATATTTTATATATATATATATGTAAATATTATTCATCCATCAAGAAGAATGAAATCTTGCCATTTGCAACAACATGGATAGAGGTAGAATGTACAATGCTAAGCAAAATAAGTAAGTCAGAAAAGATAAATATCATTAAGATCTCCCTCATATTCAGAATTTAAGAAACAAATGAGCAAAGAAAAAAAAAAAGGGAGACAGAGACAAACCAAGAAACAAGCAATTATAGACAACAAACTGATGGTTGCCAGACAAGTGGTGTGTGAGGGGATGGGGGAAATTGGGGATAGAATTCAAAGAGTACACTTAGGATGAAATAAAATAAAATAAATGATAAAAAAGGTACATGCATACCTAATTTTGTTAGATATTTGAAATTTTACTTACTGCCTATGGAACTGTGTCATTGTGCTTTCCCACCAACCATGTGTAAGAGGCCTTGTCTTGGGACGCCTGGGTGGCTCAGTCGGTTAAGCATCCAACTTCGGCTCAGGTCATGATCTCACGGTCCGTGGGTTCGAGCCCCGTGTCGGGCTCTGGGCTGACGGCTCAGAGCCTGGAGCCTGTTTCAGATTCTGTGTCTCCCTCTCTCTGTGGCCCTCCCCCATTCATGCTCTGTCTCTCTCTGTCTCAAAAATAATAAATGTTAAAAAATTTTTTTTTTTTTTTTTAAAAAGAGGTCTTGTCTCTCCACAGCCTCTCCAACAGAATATGTTGTCAAACTTTTGGATTTTTGCCAATCTGATAGGTAAGAAGTATCTCAGAATGGTCTTAATTACATTTCCTTTTATTTTTGAATAAAGTTAAGCATCTTATTTATGTTTAAAGGCCTTTTCATCTATTCTTCTGTGAACTGTGTATTCACATTTTTGCCTATTTTTGTACCAGCTTGTTTTTTCCTTGATTTTTAGGAGCTGTGTGTATGTGAGAGACAGACTAGCTTTTCTCAGTATAAATTGCCAACATCTTTTCTCAGTTTCTTATTTGCCTTTAAAGTGTTTATGGAAGATTTTGCCATGCAAAAAGCTTTTGTAAGTTAAGTTTTATAACAAAAGTACATTAATCTTTTACCTTATTGGAAGGGTTTCCTTGCCCCGAAGTCAAAATTATATTCTGCTATAATTATATACTTCTGCTTGCTTTTAGTACTCTTTACTCTTATGTCTTGGGTCTATCCATTTTGAATTTATCTTGATATACAGTGTGATTAAGATTGATTTTTATATATTTTGCCAAATAACTTTTCAGTATTGCCAACACCATTTATAAAATTTCAATTATTTTTTCAAGTGATTTGAGATGCATCCTTAATTACATGCTTGATTTCTTCATAAACTTACAAGTCCTTTTATGAAATTTTACGTATCTTCTATGGTTTATCTACTTATGAATCAATATCACAGAGCTTTATTTATGGAAGCTCCAGATTGGGTTTTAATCCTGGTCAGGCTGTATTTCCAATGCTGCCTGCTGATTTTTCAGGGGGTTACAGGTGATTCTCCCTGGTTTCTTACAGGTGATCGTTAGCATTAACTTGTGGCACTCCAAAAGAAAAACTTTTGGTAATTTTATTAGGATCATGTTAAATATAAATGGGCTTAAGGAGTATTGATGTCTTTGTGAGGTTGAATCTTTCTAAGAACAGGTATGCCTCTCATGTGTTCAGATTTTATATTCATGTATCTTTCCAGAAGTGTTTTCATGTATCCTTCTATATATTTTGCACATATTTTTGAGATTATGCCTCGCTATTATATATATATAGTATTAATATAAATAAATGTACATATTGTTTGCACATCTGTAGATATCTGATATTTACATATTATTTCTGTAGACTACTACTGAATTCACTTACTGTTTAGAGTAGTTTTTCCATTAATTTCAATAGGCTTTCTTAATATGTAATCATACCATCTGTGAATGAATAGAGATTAGAGATTGTTTTATCTCTTCCTTTCTATCCCTAAGCATTGAGGTGTTTTTTTCTTATCTAGCTGTATTGAGTAATACCTCTAATACATCGTAAAAATAGCAAAGTAGGCACCAGTCTCCTCATTCCTATATAATCACATTCCAAGAGTTTCTATGGATTTCTATGGTATTAGGTGTTTTTGTTAGGAATGAAGGTTATTGTTTTTACTTTAAAATTCATAAGAAAATTTGGTATAAAATTGTCTCTTTGTGTAGTCTTTATAAGTTTTTGTTATCGGTGTTACACATGCCTCACAAAACTGGTTTGGAAATTTTCTTTTCTGTGCTCTGAAAAGTTTCAGTAGCATTGGGATTATTTGATCTTTAAAACTTCAAATTTTGATAGAATTCCCTTTCAAGATCTTCTGGACCCAGTGGCTTTCTGGAAACGAATTCTTCTGTAGTAATTCGTATCTTTTGACTGTTTATCTCTTCTGGAGTCAGTTTTGGTGAATAAATCTGATAAAGTTATTAATTTTATTGAGTTTTTCAAATCTATTGCATTGAACTGGACAAAGTAGTTTCTAATGATTTTTAAATTTTTTTCTTTGGCTTGATGGTTACTTCCACCTTGTAATTTATTTTGTGTCTGTAGCCTTCTTTTAGAAAACTTAGGTCAGCTAGTGGTTTCTCTATTTTGTCAGTTCTTTTCCCTAAAAGACTAGCTTAAAATTTTCTTTGATTAGTTCTGCCAGTTTTCTACTTTCTAACTCATCATTATATTGTTAGCTTTATTAAGACCTTCCTTTTGCTTTAGTCAGTTAACTTTGTAATTCTTTCTCTCACTTTTTGAATTGATTTTAAGATTGTTTATTTTCATTTCATAATATGGTCAATGCAAAGAGTTTTCTCAAAGGTCTGCTTTAGTTATGTCCCATAGATTCTTTCTTCCCCCATAGATTCTATGTTGCTTTTATTATCCTTATTTTCTAAAAATTCAGCAATTTCACATTTTATTTTCCCTTTCATTCAAGAGTTGTTTAATAAACAGTTTAATTTCCAGGCTTAAAGGGTAATTTTTGTTTTTGTTTGTTATTAATAAA